TAGGGTTGCAATAATTGTTTTAACCCAAAAATGATGATTGCAACAGTTGTTTTAGCCTTAAAATGACCCTTAAAACAGTGTAAAGATGGACTCCTAGTCATTCCTAGTCCAGTTAGGATAAAACTGGGTCAAGATCAATTCTGCCTCATTTTTCATTGCTTGCAAACTGATCCTAAGAGTATATTTGGCGACTCTCCCACTAATGTGGCCAAGGCCTAAAAGTACGTTGGTAAAAATGGGTCCAGACCCAGTTTTTATAGTTATAGAAATGGTCATTAACCAGATTATCTTTGGTCACCCCCACCGTTGTTGAATCTTAACCGGATTAGTGTTGAGTTGCCAAAAACAGCCAGAGAATGGCGCTGTAAGCTTGGCAAGTTGTACATTGACATCAATTTTTCTTTGAAGGTCTTGTTCCTTTTGCCATTGGTTCTGAAACTGCTGGATCCATGTCTTTCCCTGCTGCTCGTTGCGGTATAACTTGCTTGCGCCCCACTTTTGGTTCTGTTGGACGAACCGGTGTGATGAGCCTCTCTGAAAGCATGGTAATTCCATTTCCGATATATTTTGCTATCAAATACAAGCATATAAAATGTTGAAGCTGAAGCCAGAAATTTCATGGTCACAGGATAAGCTTGGTCCTTTCTGCAGAAGTGCAGTTGACTGTGGAGTTATAATAGATGCTATTCGGGGGAGGGACCCCGATGACCTCTCATCTCGAAAGATATCACTTAAGGATCCATTCTCGATTGACTTCAAGAAACTCACTGTCGGATATCTTGAAGATGCCGAAATGGAAGTGAGTATGCTATTCTGGGGTAGTAACCTCAATCAAAGTTGTGATGTAGAAGGTCTGCTTTTGTTTCTGATGGAGGCAATGTTCTCACTTTCTGCTCAGGTTATTCATGTTCTTTCTTCCATGGGTGTTAATGTCGTACCGTTCAAGCTCAACTACACGGTTGAGACAGTGCAGGCACTTCTCAATTTCACGATGGATGTCGATATGCTGGCACACTTTGATAAGTGGCAGAGGTTAGGATATGATGATGATTATGAAGCTCAAGATCAATGGCCTGTGGAACTTCGTCGTGCTAGGCTAATCCCTGCAGTAGATTATATACAGGTATTTATAGAGTCCTCGTATCATGAATCTTATTACTAAAATCTGATTTCAGCTGCATATATATCTACATTCACAAAAAAGCCTAGAAATTACTTCTCGTTTTTTATTTTAGAAGTGCTTTCACATTTTTCACTTTCAGTTTGGTTGAGTTTTTGCAGAGTGCATGGTGTACGATCTAAAAAATTGTAGAAAAGAGAAGCCAGTAATCAGGATGCAACACTTGTAATAGAAACTCAAGTAAACTGAAATCAGAGGCAAAATATAAAAGCAAGAGCGAAAAAAAGGAGTATGAATATAACAAGAGAATCAATGCAAGCTCTTCTCAGTTCATAGGTTTTACACAATAACCAAGTATGTTTACTAGAATATTATAGTAGCATATTTGGTAATGTATCTGGTGTATCGCAGCATACACGAGAATTAATTAATTTCTCGCGATATATATTTAGATTATGCTTTTTTTCCACATATTCTTGCAACATGTCAATTTCATTGTTAAGTAGGATTCAAATATATTCCACAGTTGTTGTTTGATATCAATGATCTGTGTTGACAGGCTCAAAGGGTAAGGGGGAAGCTGATTCGAGAAGTTCGAGAGAGCTTCACTGTCGATGCATTTATCGCTAATGCAACTGACTGGGAAAGGGTTTGCTTAGGAAATTTGGTTGGCTTCCCTGTTGTCATTGTTCCTACTGGTTTCAAGAGCATTCAAGATCCACCAAAAGGTGGTACACGAAGAAGAACGACGATAACAACAGGCATATACGCACCTCCTGACCATGATCATATTGTAAGTTCTGAAATTAAGTATCAACGATATACTTCTGATAAAAAAAATTTACGGCAACATAAAGATCCTCAACAGTAGGAGCTACAGGATGAAGCTTCTTGTCATGACATGAGAATATTAAGACCTCTCTGGATATGATGAATAATTATAGGGCTTTTTTGGATGTTAGTCCTTTAAATCTTTCACATTTTGGATTAGTCCCTCAAACCACTGAATTGGTATTAAGTCTCCCAATTCTCAAGTTATTTCAAAGATAAAGTTTGCCAACTATCAAATATCTCAATTTTCATTAGTTGTTTGAAACTAATTCCTATGATTGCTACTTTTAATCTTTATTAGAGGGACTGATTTTGGAATAACTTAAGAATCGGGGGCCTAGTAGCAGTTTCAATGAATTCAGGGACTAATTTCAAAATATGAAAGGGGGGACTAATATCAAAAAACTCAAATTTATAATGCGTAAATAGGACCCATACAGAAGTTTTGTTGCCCAATACTTATTGACATTTTTATACATCATCTCTTTCTCTTCTTGAAGCCCAGCCTATTTTATCGAACCAAACTATATCATAAAATTAAAAACCTCGCATATCTTGTACGATTGGACTCGAGATGTTCTGCTTGAACTTTACTTATGAACTCCATCATTGTTCTTGTTGACATATTAGTATAGTTAAGGGTCTTATTTGTAAAATGTGTTTGTAGGGCCTATATAAGCCCATGCTATCTTATCTATGGAATAAGGGTTTTCACATTCTATATGGTATCAGAGCCACCAAAACCCTAGCCGCGCCCCTCTCCGATCACTTCTGCTGCCCCCCCCCTTCTCTTCCATCCGTCGGCCGCCCCTCCCACCCGTCGGAAAGCCCCCCAAGCACCCTACTGTGCGATCAAGCAGAAACCACGAACCCCTCACCCCCCCCGACCTCGAAACCCTTCGAACCCCGCGACCTACTTGCTGCGCTATGCTGGACCTCGAGTTTGGCATGGGTTCCCTTGACTCAGTCCTCGAACTGATGACAGGAAGAGTATATATCTCACAGCGATGAGATATGTAACTGTTTTTGGTTCTTGTTTCCTCTGAGAAACGAGAATTTGTTTGAGTTCCTACTCTTGTTGTGCAGCAGAGGTGCTGCCGAAATTGTTACTGCACACAACAAGGGTCGGAAGAGAAGGTGAACAGGTGGTGGGTCTGAAGCCTATTCGATGGAGGAGATCATCAAGAAGTTGAACCCCGCGGAGGTGTCAACTTTGATGAAGCTAATGAAGTTGTCGGCTGGTGAGAGTGCGACAAAACCATCGAAGAAGTTGGAGCTTCCGACCATCGATCTGAAGCTTGATGGACCGAGTACTTACCTGAGCTGGTCGCAGCGGGTGAGATACACCCTTGCAGGGAGGAACCTGAAGGGTTACTTGACAGGAGAGGCGACAGAACCGGAGGAGGACTCGGAGGGAAGAGATGAGTGGAAGTCCACTCATATGTTGGTGTACATCTGGCTTCTCAACTCGTTGGTCCCGACGATCGCCGCCACGGTGGATGGCATTGAGAAGGTGAAGGACGTCTGGGAGAAGTTGAGGAGGACATATGATGGAGTGGGGAATAACCTGAGGGTATTCCAGATTAAAGGAGAAATCGACGCCACAGTCCAGGGAGAAAGGACTGTACAGGAATATGCTACAGAGTTGGAACGCCTGTGGCTGGATTATGATCATTTCTCTCCCCGGGCTAGCTGCAAGGACCCGGGATGTAAAGAGCGGGAGGCCTTTCTACAAGAGAGGACTATGGTGTTTCTTAAAGGATTGACATCAGAGTTCGCTCAGCGAATCGCATTGCTGCTAGCTCAGCCGAAGATTCCCACGCTTGAGGAGGCTGTCTCTGCTATGATCCAGGAGGAGACTCGCATTCGGCTGCAGGCGGGGACAAGTGGACTTCCTGTGGTGAAGTCAGCACTAGCAGCCTCTAACAACACTGAATCTAGGGGAGAGACCCGACAGTGCTACAACTGCGGTGCGGTAGGTCATCTAAGACATGCTTGCACCAAGCCATCCAAGGAAGGTGATTCGGGTGGACGTGGACAGTTCGGAGGTCGTGGTCGTGGCCGTGGGGGTCGACGAGGTGGAAGAGGAGCAGGAAACCGGGCAAATCTGACGGTCGCAGAGGAAGAGGAAGCTGAGGTGGTCTTTACTGAGGAGGATCGTGCTCTCCTGGCAATACTAAGGAAGAAGCAGCAAGTAGCAGGGGATGGAACTGAGGAGGCATCCACCTCATTCTTCGGCAGAAGCAATACTGCTACCTATGCTCATCCGACCAAAGGTACTGATGACATACATGCTCTTGCTTCTATGTCTCCTGACAGATCATCAGCATGGATAGTCGACTCCGATGTGTCTCGTCATGTGACAGGTAATGCTAGTGAGTTCTCATCATATACTCACTTAGCATCGCCTGATAGTATTCAAACAGCTGATGGTATATTTCAGCCTGTGGTTGGTAAGGGTACAGTTGATTGTACTGGTTCTGTAACTTTGTCCAATGTTTTACATGCTCCTTCCTTTCCAGTCAATCTTTTGTCCATTAGTTCTATCATCCTTCAACTAAAATGCATTATTTCTTTTGATATTCCCAAGGTGATTTTTTAGGAGAAAGGGACAGGGCGGAGACTTGGGACTGGCACATGGCGTAGTGGACTGTGATATCTGGATCGTGAAGGGTTGGATTCAGCATTGGTGTCAGTCATAGAGGAAGCAGGAGTAGGATCTAAAATGAGTTAATGCTTCATCACCAGCGTTTGGGACACTCATCCTTTAGTGTTTTAGGTAGATTGTATCATTCTTTATTTGAGAAAGCAAATAAACAGAAACTTGTGTGTGATGCATGTGAGTTGGGAAAGCTTACTAGAAGCTCTTATGTTAGTTCTGGTCATAGAAGTTCTCATGCATTTGACTTGGTACATTCAGACGTTTGGGGGCCTTGTTCCACAAGTTCTATGAATGGATACAAATATTTTATTACATTTATTGATTGCTTCTCTCGTGTTACTTGGTTATACCTGATGAAGAATAAGAGTGATGTGTTTGGGTGCTTTCAAAACTTTCATAGGACTGTTCAGACTCAATACGGAGCAGTGGTGAAAGTATTGAGGTCAGATAATGGGACAGAGTATATCAACAGAACGTTTGAAGAATATTTGTCAGCTCAAGGAATACATCACCAGACTACCTGTCCATACACACCAGCCCGGAATGGGGTAGCGGAAAGGAAGAACCGACATCTCTTAGAGGTTGCTAGAAGCATGATGATCTCTATGAATATCCCAGAAACATTATGGGGACAAGCAGTATTGACTGCAGCAGCGCTGATCAACAGAATGCCCTCGAGAGTGCTGGATTGGAAGTCTCCATGTGAGATATTGAAGGGAGATAACGGTGGGATTTTTCCACTTAAAGTGTTTGGCTGTGTGTGCTTTGTGAAGGACAACAGGCCATCTGTCGGGAAGCTTGTCCCTAGAGCTGTGAAGTGCATCTTTGTGGGATATTCTGCTACTCAGAAGGGATATGTTTGCTGGAGCCCAGTGGAGAAAAGGTTGCTTGTGAGCATGGATGTGCACTTTCGAGAACTCGAGCCGTATTACACCCAGAAGGTAACTTCATCCTCTAGTAACTCGCCTAATACTAGAAGTATGAGGCGAGAGGAGGAGAATAGTGAGAGATCGGTGAACAATGTGGAGAAATCCATTTCTGTATCGATTCCTTGGGAAGGAGAATTGGTTGAGGAGGAGCAGGAGAATGATGATGAAGAAAAGAAAAATGAGACAAGAGGTGTTAGGCCCACTGTTCAGGGGGAACTACTAACCTATAGTAGGAATGGCAAGCAAATTACATGAACAGTACCTACAGTGCCACTAGTGCTTCTTGCCAACGCCTGCCCCGACTCCTGAAACACCACCACCACCACCAGCTTTATCCCAAGGTGATAACGTTCCTCTCCCTACTGATAACATTCCTCTCCCTACTCCTCCCATACCAATATCAGTACGGAGGACTACTCGTAGTAATGCGGGAAATCCTCCCGATAGATATGGTTGGGATCTTGCCCAATTTGTATCATATTCTAACATCCACCCTGCACATGGGGCATTCATTGCATCATTGGACTCTGTTACTGTACCTAACAATTGGCAGGTTGCTAAGAAGGACCCAAAATGGAAAGCGGCTATGCACGAGGAGTTAGGGGCTCTTGAGAAGAACCGCACTTGGGAGCTAGTAAAACTACCAGAAGGAAAGCGAGCAGTTGGATGTAAGTGGGTCTTCACTGTGAAGCAGAATCCAGATGGGCAAGTTGAACGCTACAAGGCTCGTCTGGTGGCAAAAGGGTATAGTCAGACATATGGCATCGATTATGATGAGACTTTTGCACCGGTGGCGAAGATGAGCACTGTTCGGACCTTAATCTCTCTGGCAGTAAATGGTAGATGGAAGCTACACCAACTAGATGTGAAGAACGCATTTCTTCATGGAGATCTAGTGGAGGAGGTATACATGGAGATACCACCAGGATTCAGTACAGAGCAGACAGTAGGAAAGGTTTGCAGATTGAAGAAGTCTCTCTATAGCTTGAAGCAATCTCCCCGTGCTTGGTTTGACAGATTCAGGCGGGCTATGATAGGTATGGGATACCATCAGATTAATGCCGATCATACCGTGTTCTTTCGACGGAGTGAAGGTCACATCACCATGCTTGCAGTATACGTGGATGATATGATTATTACAGGGGATGATGAGAAGGAGATTGCCCAACTCAAAGTGAGACTGGGTAAGGAAATCGAGGTGAAAGATCTTGGCTTGCTTCGATACTTTCTTGGAATAGAGATAGCTCGAGGAGCGGAGGGAATCATCCTATCCCAGAGAAAGTATGCACTGGATCTTCTCAAAGAGACAGGGATGTTAGGGTGCAAACCTGCAACTACACCGATCGACCAGAAGTTCAAACTAGGTGCTGAGGCCGGAGAACCAGTTGATCGTGACAGATACCAGAGGCTGGTGGGAAGATTGATCTATTTGAGTCACACACGTCCTGATATCTCTTTTGCAGTGAGCGTGGTGAGTCGCTACATACATGATCCAAGGAAGGGTCATATGGACGCAGTGTACCAGATTAAGTCATGTTTCAACTAAAGACCAGGCAGCAGATTGTCTGACTAAGGGACTTAACTCAATAGATATGATTAGAGGATGTGACAAGATGGGCTTAGTGGATATCTTTCGCCCATCTTGAGGAGGAGTGTTGACATATTAGTATAGTTAAGGGTCTTATTTGTAAAATGTGTTTGTAGGGCCTATATAAGCCCATGCTATCTTATCTATGAAATAAGGGTTTTCACATTCTATAGTTCTACATTCAAATAAAATTCACTGATAATAAGTTTGAAAATGCTTTTGTGTACATTTCAGGCTCTAGCATTAGCTATGGCATATCAGTCGGTTACCAATCATCACAAACAGCGTCCACCTATCGATAACCTGGGACCAAATGATCCAGTGCCTATACGTACACGTACTGAACTCTCTTTTAAAATCAATGCAAACAATAAAACTTTATGGTATAGTATATATTCATAGATCTTCATTTATCATATTGTGATTAATACGTTTATGTTTACCTTGTACAGGTAAAAATCAGTTTGTCTTGATAAGGTGAAAATCGGTGAGACGATTTGCTCGGTAAATTTTGCTTCACCTGTTCTCTCGCCATCAAGAATTTGGACACCACAATGATATGCATTGCATGTTGTTGCAACTATTAGTAGAAAATGACAATTTATCGAAAATTTTCATCGGCTATGGTGGAATTGTTTCCAACAAGTCACGGGTTCTAATTATCTCTTGATAATGAACATCGTCGTTGTGCTTCACATTCAGTAAGAAATAAATCATCCTCATTTCTTCCTTCTATCTTATCATGTATAAATTGGATATTTGCTAGAAAACGAGGGTTTCTTTTTTGTTGATATGAGGGTGTAGGGTAGGTATTGAATCTTTACATCTACTCCTCTATACTTGAAGGAGAACCCAAAGGAATTACCCTTTATACTACAGTAAATATTGTAGCATAAACTCGAAGTTGTTGTTTATGCTACAGTAATTTACTATGCGTAAACAGTAAATCGAATCTTCTCCTCCATACCAAGTTACTATTTATACTACAGTGATTTATTGTATCATAAACAGTAAAGCAAATCAAATGTATTAAAACTTGGATCCTTCTTTAAGTATATATGGAGGAGTAGACATGATTTCTAAATCAAATGTATTAAAACTTAGATCATTCTTAAAGTGTAGAGGAGTAGATATGATTTCTAATTTTAAGCATACAATAATTAAATTAAATGTATTAAAACTTAAGAGTGAGGCAAGTGCAAAATGCAGTGCTTAGGAAAATAGGAGGCCGATGCACACTAGGGTGATGTAATACCCAAATCTTAATTAACAAAGATTAAGGTACTCTAAAACTTAACTCTCTTCGATCTCATGAGTTGCCAATGCTTTCTTCAGCTGAACCATGTGCACAACCTTTCACGTAGTATTTGGATTTAGGACACGATTAAGATACATATACTTGATTGGGATCTCATGAGCTAGAGATTAATACTTCCTGAGAACCTAAAGTTTGAACTTGTTAGATTTAAAAATCCATATTAGTATTGGTTCAGCTTCAGCTAGCGTGAAACACGGTGGGAGGAAAAGGAATTTGCATCCGGACCCTTCTATTCATAGAATATTACTCTTTAGCCCAACTTACGCTAAATACCATATGAAGTCAAGTCATTGTTGAATGATGAGAGGAATTCATGTACGAGTCCTGAATAGCATGGATATGTTAAGATCTCCTTGTAGTTTTCAGAAATTGGTAATAAACCTTGTAGTTTTTCAAAAATTACAGAAACCCCCCTGCAGTTACAGAAATTGCAGAATAATCCCTGCAGAAGCAGAGACTACAGAAATACCCCTGCAAGAATAGAAATTACAGATCTGCCCAAATGATAACTAAACAAGTTTTTAAAGTTTAGAATACTTCTATAAAGTATGTTAAGAGATCAAGGATTATTCTAAGGCATTTCGAAAGACCCTACACTCCGATAATTAGAGTTGAGAATGCAATTAAGGAGTGTACAGGTATAAATACATGTATTGAGTGAGTTTTGATATTTGATATGTATTTGTACTATGAAAGCTTAATAGGAGTTATATATAGTTGACTATTGAAGGACTACACATGAACTTGTATTTTGCGGAAAATTGGAAAGTGGGAACATGTTCTTTAATTTATGTTATATACTCATTTTTCTTTTCCATGAGAATTGCGTCTTTCATGGTCATACAAGCATGAGTTCCGTATTAATGCTATTCTTTAAGTTATACTATAATCATGGTAATATTGCATCGGTTTTTGTTAATATTTTCATATTGGACAATGATTTTGTCACGGTTTGCGGTACATGAATAGAGATTTGGGTTAATGAGTTATGTTGAGATTTTATATTGTGTTGTTTGTTGGTCAATGCAGTGTACAATGAATTAAGTCACAAGCCTGTCAAGGGAATAGGGTGTTATAACGGGCAGATCGTCGTTGTGTGCAGCCCGGACCAGACAGATCCCCGTGGTAGGCAGTTTGGTTGAGTTAAAGCGTAAAAGGTAGAGCGCCGCGGTAGGCACCCTTTCTAGGCAGACATTCGCTATAGGCAGTCTAGTTGTCAAGATAGGGTGTGACATTGCTTAATTTCTTTGCATAATTTTCTTACTTTGACAAAATTTACAAAAATTTCATTTCAAATCAAGTTCTATATTCTTTTGATATGCATAGTTTTGTTAATATAAATTACTGAATATGCACCACTTACTGAGTATGTGGAAAGTTCGCCCCAAATATAAATGACATTTTAGCTGAGCGTGGTGAGGAGAACTAAGGCGAGTAGGATTTGAGGATATGGACAAGATCTTTGGTCAAAAGCAATCTCCTAACTAGTATTTTAGTAATGGAATGGTTCCTCTCAGAAGAGTTTTGTGATATATGTATTTGTCTACAACCTCTATTATATAACTTGGAGTTTCTGAGTGATATAAATGTACTTTTGATCATGTACAGTTAATGACAAATAGTATAATGTATCAATCAAGGAAGTAAGTTTGAAATGCAAGATTTTGAGTAGACCATAAATGTGAAAATATTGCTTGTTGGAATATTGGAATTAGGCTTGCAAGTCCTCAGCTAGAGGGATTTGTGGCCGACCATCATGTGCCTTTGTTTTATTATCATTTTCAGTAATATTTGCGTTGGTTTGGGCCGTGACATGTGATCTATGATAAGCATGCTCCATTATGAAGGATTTCGTGAGTACATTATGTAGAATTTAATTTTGGTTAGGCTGAGGTTGAGTAACCAAGAAATAGAGCACATAACTATGGAGCTAGGCACAAATCTTTCAGGTTTACAAGAATAAAGGATAGATTACTTATTGTTTTTGGGTCAAACAGGATCTGTGCTCATAAAACATATTATTTGGCCTCGTCTATGCTGTGATTGTTGGTTGCTTATCTCATAACGCTCTGAACTTTTTTATCATCAAATCCCACCTGAAAGTTTCACATTAAAATCCCCTAATTAGCACAATGAAATCTAATTAATGTGTCAAATGGCAAGTAGGTGACAAAAAAGAGGAAGATAATGTCAGCCTCAAAATTTTACCCTTTTATAAAAGGGCTTTTTTTGGTGTTTGGGGTGGTGTTGTTGGTTTTTATTTTCTTTTCTTTTCTTTATTTTTGGTGGGTAGGGCGGGTTTACATTTTGGGAATGTTCATCTTTTTTTTGTCGTGTGTTTGGCTCATGACACGTTAGAGTGGATGATAATACTTCAGAGGAGATTAAATCATAAACTTTGAGATGAGATTTAGTAGAATAAAAAAAATCCAACAGATTTATTATGCGCAATAACTCCTGAATTTAGGGGAATTGAGGGAAATAAAAACTTAATGAAACACCTAATTTCCTCACACTTATGAAAAAACTTATGGAAACATTCTCACACTTGGAGAAATCAATCTAAACATCCTCAAAGTTAGAAAATTCTAATAAAAACTTAAGGAATCACCTAACTTTTTTGTCATGCGCGCATTGCATGTGTGCATTGGGATAATAGTTTTTCATTAAATAAACTGGGATATTTTTGCAGCAAATTGCAGATATGAGAGTGTTAATGATTGCCCAAATCCAAACCGAAACAGGGTACAAATATGACAAGAATGGAGGCAACAAAACGTGGGGCACAAAATTTATCGGAATCTAGTCAGTACTATCATTAGGTTTGGATTATTAGTGTAGCTCTCACGTGACTGAGGGAATGAAAAACGTGACTGGTGCCCTGGATAGTGGTATCAAACACGTACGAGAGTTGAGTTTAAAATTGAACCAATGTATGTAACCGAAGGGAAGATGTTGATTATCTTGCAAAGATACATGATTAATCTTTTAATGATTTTGAGAAGAAGATTTGATATGTATTTGTTGAGATATTGGTGGAATATTGAAGAGTCAAACGTGTCCGACAAAGGAGGAAGATTATGATAATGGCTCCACGTCTACTTAATTACATAGCAAAGTTTGGTTACTTGTGTCAAAAACTTGCTTTTTGCGCTTTAATGCCTCAAAGATTGGATTATTAATTCAAAGAAATATAAACCTAGAGGTACCAAAGTTCATAGGAAAATTTGTGTCAAGGCTCCAAAACAAAAAAGTTCATGTGCTCCCCACCCCCGTATTAATTCACTGGTGTATAAGCCCCAATTACTAACGACTTTTGTGATTCAGCCCTTTTTCACACTCTCTTAAAAAAATAACCTAAAATTTTTCAAACCTACCCCTCTTTTTCTTTTTATTGTTCTCTTTGTCTTTCTCTTTTTCTCATTGAGAACATAATTGCTCCTTCCTCCTCTCCCCTAACTCTACATTCCTCCTCTCCCTCTTACTCTTCTTGCCCATGACGTCGCTTTCTCCCTCTTCTGCCTCCCCCCCCCTGTCATCTTAAGCAAACGTTAAGAAGGCTTAGAGAATGAGGAGAGGCGGTCGGCAAGATGCAGATGGAGACGAGCATGGTGAAGGAGTAGGAGACAATGAAGGAGAGGTCGAGCTCATCTAGCTAGTGAGATCCACGGTGATGGGAGATAAAGGGAGATTAGGAGGGAGTATGGATGGATTTTTGTGATGCAACGTGGTCTGCAAGAGGCGTAGAAGGCGGTAGGAGATGAAGAATAGGGTTAGGGCTCATATGTAGTGGCTAATGAAGGAGGAGGATAATGAGGACTTCGGGACATATGTGATGTTTGTCGAAATGCTTGTGAGGTGGATGAGTTGGCTTGTAGATTAAAATGATATTAGTTGGGCTAAAATTTTATGAATGCCTACAAAGTGTTTGATGAAATGCCAAGAGAGATGTGGTTTCTTGGAATGTGATAATAACAGGTCGTGTACAAAGAAAATGTTATAGGGATATTATCGTGTAGATGTGTGTATATAAGCATCAAAATTACATGAACTTTTTTGATTGTCTGAGTTGATCGTGAACTATGAAAAATTAGTTATGAATCTTATCTATTAACTTTAGTCACTACATGTTAATTGTATCTAGTTCCTATTTTGTTTAGCTAGTTCTTATTAACTATAACCAGTACATGTTAACTTTAGTCATTGCATGTTAATTAATATCAAGCACATGCTAAATATTTTTATACTAGGTGGAATGCACGTGCAATGCACGTGGTCAAATATTATAATTGTTGATTTTTAGTTTATGTATTTACTATAACATAGTTGCAAAAAGTTTATTATTATCATAATAAATTAAAAAGTTTCAGATATTTTAATATATAAAATCTTGTTGGTTTCAACTTTTTACATTCCACATAATTAGTGAGGTTTAAAGTCTTAAAATATGAATGATCTAAGAGCAATTTAATGATTTCGAATTTTAATTTTAATATATTAATGATGTAAGCACCAATATCTAAAAAACTATTATTATTAAAAAATATATAACTTGAATTCATCAACGTAAAATGATAGGTTTATTTGGTCATAGAGGATTTTGTTTAATTATAAAGAAATCACTTGCGTCTATTGTCTACTTTCACTTTCTATTATCTTGTGACTGAGTATTATAGATATTCAAAAACTTTTTTATAGAATTTTCAAAGTTAGAATGTGCAAATTCAATCAAGAAAGAAAATATAAATTATGTGATCAATTCCAAAATCTGATATTATAATCTTCCTACATCTTCTCAACTAATTAATTAATTTGTCAAAAAGATTACTCTCTAATTTTAGAAAACTATAAAATATAATTTGAGAATGATTTAAACATATTTTGTACACATATGGATTGTATTTTAACAAAATAATATAGATTTATCCAATATTAAATAATATCCAAAAATTTAAGCTAAAGAGTTAAAAGAATCTAATAACACTCATATCCAAACTGTATGCTTCATAAATGTGAGACATATAAAATGAATAACTTAATTTATTTTGTTAAATAATTTATTACAAATTAAAGATAAGGAGAACCATAAGGATCACATAGTCATCCCAAATAAAGATTAAATATGTCTTTAATCAGCCAATGCCAAGGCAACAGAGCTAGCATCAAACCTACCCGCCAGACCTCTTTTGAAAATCATACTCCTATCGTTCTTTCTATTCTCTCTGTGAATTTTGTAGCAAAAATTTTTCAGAGATACTGATAGACTTGCTATAAAATCCACTCTTATAAGATTGATGTCACATGTGTCTTAAATTATACTCTTTTAAGGGTTAATTTTAGGAAACATCCCCTCAACTATGGGGAAAATGTTAAAAAATGCATCCCAAATGAGTAAATGTTTGTTTATCAAATTTGGGGTGTTATAATTGATCTATCTCAACTTCAAAATTTTGATTTAACCTTATAAACTTTTCTCAATTAACCCCTCAAAAACTAATAACATTGAGCGGAATTCATTATGTGATAAATACTTGACTTGAAAAGACCAAAATATCCCTCAACCATAAAAGAATTAGCTTGGTTTTTTGCTAAATGAAAGAAAAAGTGAAGATTTAGAGGTAAAAAGAATTATAAATTAGTTGTAATCCTTTTATTATCAGTTGAGAGATTCTTTTAACTAAAATGGATTTCTTTAATAGGGCATTTTGACAAAATCACTTATTAAAGTCTTTTACATTAAGGGGATTTGTTAAGAGATGTGTAAAAGACCAGAAGAGTTTTTATAAGACACGCTAAGTCGAATGGTGTTTTCTAAAATCGCACCAAAGTTAAGAATGTTTATCTACAACACCTCTATAGTTAGGAGGCTCTGTCAAATTAAATTAGTTAAGTGGTTTTTTGAGACATTCCCCATACCTGAGAGAGTTTTCAAAGAATTAACTATTCTTTTAAATTTAGCTCAAATATTTTATAAATCTATATTATTACCAAAATTATAAGCAATTTCAAAATTTTAAGGGAATAATGTAGAATTATTAGAGATTTAAAATCAATGAAATGATATCTAAATTGCCTTTAAATATTGCTCTTATAGGCAATATATGAAACATTGGCCGATATATCGCTCTATCGACTGATTAAAAGGTTAAATACTTTATCTTAATAATATTTATGGTTTTACATTATTTTCTTTTATTTGGATTTTTTTCCTCATATATCGATCATTGTCAAAAATATTGGCTAGTATAACAAAATCGAGTTATTTTTAATTTGATTGTAAGCTTGGTATTATGTTGTGTTT